AGGGAAAGAAGAAAATTCTTAAGGACCGCTTTGAAGGAACTAGGTTTAATTCTAACCGACCAACCTGGTCTTTTGGGACCGAAGGCGTTGCTGGTCTTAATGGGACTCTCTCATGCAAGAGACGAGGTACTGTGGCTATTGAGACACGGGGACAATCCTCCTATTCAAGGCAAAGGTAAAGGACGAGGTGGCGAGGATTTGGTGGACCGCCAGTTGCCAGAATTGCTCTTCCATTGCGAAGAACTACGAGCATTAGTAAAGAAATATTCTCAGGTGCTTCAAAGGTATTACGTCCAATTTCTTTCTGGATTCGATGCCCCTGCTTTGCATCAAATGATACAAAATCTTCCAGTTTGTCCTGAAGATGAGGGAGCTATTCTTAGTGATATGTGTTCAATTATAGCTAATCTGACTGTAAAACAAGTTGAGGACAATGAATTATTTGATTTCCGTGCCTTCCGACTGGATTGGGTTAGGCTGCAGGCCTATATGTCTATCGCGAAGTGCAATATGAATCTGGCTGATAACAGAGAATTGGCTTCCTTCATGGATACAGTAATCTTCCACACAAAAATGGTTGACAATTTAGACGAGATGTTAGTCGAGACGTCCGATTTATCCATCTTCTGTTTCTACAGCAAAATATTTGAAGATCAATTCCACATGTGTCTCGAGTTTCCTGCTCAGAATCGATACATTGTCGCCTTCCCGCTCATATGCAGCCATTTCCAGAGTTGCACACACGAGCTCTGTCCGGAGGAGCGTCATCACATTCGCGAGAGGAGCCTCTCCGTCGTCAATATGTTCCTGGATGAGATGGCCAAAGAAGCTAAAAATATTATCACAACTATTTGCGACGAGCAATGTAACATGAGCGACAAATTACTAGCGAAACATTGTGCTTTGTTAATCTCACAAGTTGTCAATCGTAAGAAGAAGGACAAAAATAAGAAGAACATGTACGAAATTCATAAACCCGGTATAGAGAGCTATCGGAAGACACGGGAGGAATTAACGACGATGGACAAGCTGCATATGGCCCTTACTGAGTTATGTTACGCCATCAATTACTGTCCCACTATCAACGTCTGGGAATATACTTTTGCACCAAGAGAATATTTGCATCAACATCTGGAGTCGCGATTTGCTAGAGCGCTGGTGGGAATGGTCATGTATAATCCAGATACCAGCGAGATAGCCAAACCATCTGAACTTTTTGTCAGTGTTAGATCCTACATGAATGTCCTTCAGACTATCGAGAATTATGTTCACATAGACATCACGCGCGTTTTCAATAATGCCCTACTTCAGCAAACTCAAGAGCTGGATAGTCACGGCGACAAAACCATAGCCGCGCTCTACACGCAGTGGTATTCGGACGTTCTGCTGAGGCGAGTTAGCGCCGGCAATATTTGTTATTCCGCGAATCAACGGGCGTTTGTCAGCTTGTCAGTAGAAGGTGCCATTCCATTTAATGCTGAGGAGTTCTCCGACATTAACGAGTTGAGAGCGTTAGCCGAACTGATAGGGCCATATGGTATGAAAATGTTGAACGAGAATTTGATGTGGCATATTGCCAGTCAGGTGCAACAGTTGAAGAAGCTGGTAGCGGGCAATAAGGATGTACTGATCTCTCTGAGAACTAATTTCGACAAGCCAGAGGTGATGAAAGAGCAGTTCAAGAAACTGCAACACGTAGACAATGTTCTTCAACGAGTTACCATAATAGGCGTGATTCTGAGTTTCCGGCAATTAGCGCAGTCGGCATTGGTTGACGTGCTAGAGGAACGCATACCGTTCCTGCTGAGCTCCATATTGGATTTTAGACATCACCTGCCATCCGGCGATCCCATGCGCGTTGTCTCCGAAATGACGTCGGCTGCAGGTTTGACTTGCAAGGTCGATCCCACCTTGACGAGCGCGCTAAGAAACCAAAAGGCGGAGGTCGACGAGGATGAACATTTGCTCGTTTGTCTGCTGATGGTCTTCGTAGCGGTTTCCATTCCAAAATTGGCACGAAATGACAATTCCTTCTATAGAGCGTCGCTCGAGGGCCATTCCAACAACATACATTGTATGGCGACCGCGATAAATAATATATTCGGAGCACTGTTCACGATTTGTGGGCAGAATGACATAGAAGATAGAATGAAGGAGTTTCTTGCTCTGGCCTCGTCCAGTTTGTTGAGATTAGGCCAAGAAGCGGACAAGGAAGCAACTCGAAACAGAGAGTCCGTCTATCTTTTATTAGATCAAATAGTACAAGAATCTCCATTTCTAACGATGGACTTATTGGAGAGTTGCTTCCCATATGCACTGATACGCAACGCATATCACGACGTGTACAAGCTCGAGCATTCGCAACCGTGAGCTTAACGGCGAAGCTGCGAGGAAGAAAGGGTGCTGCATTTCTAACTCGCCACTCAGGGCCACTTTTTTACGTCCACACACTTGTACCATCGAAGGCAATCATAAAGAATTTGCTGCTATTTATCACTTAGCCAAACTATAATTTTTTGAATGGAGCTAGTTTTCTGGTTAGTGTTGATGAAAAGTACAAGCTTATGTCACCGGAAGCACGGAAGAATGGTGAATACGTACGATACGTACGATTATTTGAGGATTGATAACATTAATGAATTACACTCGGTATTTTAACAGAATGTTACAAGCTTGCGACATCGTAATACACGTTAGCGATTTTTTACGTTGCTTGCAAAAAATCGCGTGTCATCTTGATCCGTATAATTGAAATCTGTGTTTCACGAACATTTTTATATAGCTGAATTCTATCTTTGTATCGAAAGAATCTTTATCAAGGAAAGTTAATCGACGTACAATTTTGTCGAGACTCGCGGACTTTCCTAACATTCGAAACGATGCATTTTTTTAATGTACAGTATTCTCTATAATTTAAGTCCGGTTCGAAATATTTGTTAGTATATAACTGCATATCTTAAATTTCACAGTCAAATATTATGTAATAGTTTATGTCAAGGAATTTTTCTATTCCATGGGAATGAAGGATGTATGCTCCCATTGACTTCAGGCTAAAGATCGCGATATTCATATATCACACAGTAGGTATCATCACACTTATCCACTATGACTTTTTAATGTACAATTGTAACTTTTACAATAGTTTATATAATAAACAAACTATGTGTATAAAACATGGCTCATCACTTATCTTTAAGATCCAGTTCGCTTTGCTCCAAAAATCACACACAGTGGATAAATGTAAAATGTATGCTTTATTTAGTTTTTTTACATTGTTTTTGTCTCTTTTAATCACATTAACGTAACACAAGAGATATTCACAATCATAATTCTTTTATTTATAATATCCTTAAAACACTCGCCGCATTCTAGACATTTTGGGAAAAGAGAGTCTGAAGCTACGTTCAGGCGCGATTGGTCAGTATCATGCTCAGTTATAATAATTTACAATAAAGAGATATATCTCAAGAACACACATCACTCAAAGTTGCACCGATTAAAAGCAAAGGTACGGCATCAACGTAAGGGTCACTTGGTGTTCGGTGATATCCAAGTAACGCTCTCGAATTAAAAAAAAAAGTATGATTCTCTTCTCAAAAAACGATTCATCGTTCGCGAAATGATCGGTACAAAGGACATACGAAGTTACGCTTAAATAATCCTGGATGCACGATGTTGATAGGTCACCACGTTTTTGGATCGATAGAAAAAATATAATCTCGATTTGTTCTTTTTTTTTGTTCTTTCCTCTCTAACATTATGTACAAGTGATAGAGTAGTGTGTGTGTGCATCGCGTCACAATAATGCAGCTCTGGATTAAGATAGATACATAAATCTCAATGATCTTGAAAAATTTCGTTCATTCTCATTATCGTTATCGATCTGATATACATGATGACTTTTGACAAATATGTTGCACTATTGCAATTAATCGTAGATGAGAAATTTCATGACCACTCGAGAATTAAAAAATCACATCTTAATCCAGATGCCGCGGAAACGAATAAGCTTAAGCTGTATATATAGTTAGAGGTCTGGAACAAATGATGAAGGAGAATTTATTCTTATCTTATACTCTCCTCTCGTACGCACAAGCGACTTCATTGTCAACTACGATAACTACGCCTTGACCCCATCCCACGCCCGTTTCTTAGGCTTTTAGCGAGACGTAACGAGGCATTACTATCTATTCTGTCTTCTTTCTCGATATTCGTTATGTCGCATAGGCGAACTTTGTAACTGTGATCTTTTTGATCATAACGTTCAGTCGTTCGAAATAGTAATGGCAGTGAAATGGAAGCAAAAGTAGTTCACGCATCGTCGTTTGACATCAGAAACATCAATTCATTCCAAAAACAAATTCTAACTACCTCGAGATTGCTCATCAAATGGCAGTGGCTTGGAACGAAGTGATTGCTTAGAAATTCCCGATAACTCTACAAACGACATTGTTTCGCGCTTTTTCTTTAACATACACGGAAAAATCTCTCTCTCTCTCTCTCCTGCATAAAATAAAATTTAAAAAAGGACGTATAAAAAGTTTCCTTTATCTGGTGGCATTGTCTAAAATATTCATTAATATCGTTATTGTACATTAAGAAGACAACTAACATTTATTTTCAAAAAATATTTCTAATGCGATTCATAATGCATCAAAATTAATCGAATCATGCCTCGTTACGTTCATTGGCAGTAAATCGCATCCATGAATTATCACGGATTGTTGCTTGCATCGAAACAGATTAAAATCGTTCAATGATATCACGAGCGACTACGAATGGGATCAAACGGAATTCCTTTGCACCTACACGCAAGAAATCTCGAAATTTCTTCTAAATAACTGACCGTACGATTTCTCCGGTCCACGATAGATCGTCACAGAAACTTATGCTTAAAACCTAAAGGCTCGATTACACGCACGTACAGACACTCGTTCGTCATCCCTAGCTTCCGTTCTGATTACAAAATACAGAATAATATTCCGCTATAATACAGATCTGATATAAAAACAAGTATTTTTTGTATTCGCTTTACCATTTGTTATATAATCATTTTATAATCGCGCGGTATATATTTATATACAGATATACACACTTCCCGCGATCACTTTCTCACGTTCTCTCACTCACAATATTTCTTCTCGCACGCCCGAAGAACATTTACTTTCCGTCCCATTTTCTAGTATTTCTTTTCGTTTGCTTCTTTTCTCGCAAGACTCTCATATGATCCACCATAATAATCACATTGTGTCTATTGTACATTTTCACACGATCCGCAAACTCGTATTATAGTGTCTTTACTGGCACCTCTCCCTCTATTTTATATCCTGCATCCCTATATTCACTTTTTCGCCTAGATGGCCTAGATGAAACACAGTCTTAAAGTTACAACGCAGAGAGTTGTGATCCAATTGTGGATAGACATAGAGATATATATTAATCACACCAATTGATATTTGAGAATATTATTAACTTTCTGTTTTTTTATACTCTACAAATTTCTACATGACTGAAAAGTAAAGATCAATGCAAAATTTCCGAATAATGTTGTTATGGCTATAAAAAAATAACGAACATGTGTGACTGTATAATTACTATTTATCTGCGCTGTATTTTAAAATATTTAAAATATTCTGTTATATATAAATGATTTAATATATGCAATGATTGTAAAAAAGTTGATGAAAAATCATGAAATTAATCTCTTTCATAATCTCATATTGGAAAAGAAAATTGCACTCGTTCAAATACAGAACTAAAAGTATGATCTGTAAAAGTGATACAAATAACAAATATGAAAACTGAGATTGGATAAAAAAGATAAATCTGATTTCTAAGTAGCACATGTTCCACCAGCTTTTCTCTGATTTGTTATCGGTAAATAGAATGTGCTTTACGCATATAATAATATGCGTTCGATATTATTCACTATAAATTGATAATGTAATCTAAACAGGATCGGACATATTTGCATTAAATAGGCATCGATAAGAGACGAATGAAAAAAAATTCAGTCGTTTCATTGTCAGATTTGGCGTTTTGGAGAAGAGGGGAGTGCATTAATCGTATCGACAAGCAGTTCAACAGCACCAGATACGATTCACCTCGAGAATGAGAACCGATCTCGTGTTTCTCGTTTACGAGTATGCAGCTGTGTACGTGTGAGAGCCCATGCATATATAATATATTATATAATATAACACGTCTGCACGTTTCGATAAGAGGGCTCGTCTTTGGTCCGCTATACGCATAATCATGCGTTTACGGTGCAGCCCCCGACTTAATACATACATATTAAAAAACTCGTTTTTAATTAAATATAACTTATAACATTCGCAATAGGCGGAGATAAATTATCATCTGCAAGATATAACTAATTAATAATAATAGTAATAATTATAGCATAGCCTAATAATAATCAATATCATTTTTGTTCATATATATAAGAGTTAATGGAATATCTCGCTATAGAAACGCATTATTTTGTGTTGCTGCTCTTATATCTTCTTCACGACCTTGCATAGCTTCATTCATTCCAATTGGCTAATACAAATTAGTATAAGAATAATACATACCGTTAATTATTATACTATAATGGTACAGAGATCATGTGAATGACCTGCGATGGTTTGGTAATGGTAAGGTGCCATTTCGCTCCAGAAAGTTTATTTATAATGAAACTGTTTAGAGTCCTTAAAATTACGGATATAATAAAAATACGTAGAATAAAATTTTATACAACAGTTTCAGTTTTTTCTCTACCAGATAATATTGTGATGTTGCCTGCTGTATCAAACTTTAAAATTAGATTAAATCCGCTTTATCGTTCCACGATAAAACTTCTGTTCGAATAAAAAAACAATTTTTGGCTCGTTATACTTATCAATAAGCGAAATACGAATAAAACATTGCCTTTGGAAAACTCATTTACATATGTATATATATGCCGTTTACACCAAAGGACGTATTGTCTTATTGCCAATTCCCCGCTAAACTTGTATCTAATCTCTAACAAACAAATAGAGATCTCAATCATAAAGATCTCTTAATTTAACTTTCGAGAGCGACATGCACGAATATCGACATCTCGTGAAGGACGCCGTCACATAAAGACCATACAATCTTGGCCTTAAATGCTTATAATGTTCGAAGGGCGAAAATGCGACGCGTTTTAACACCGCCGCATTCGTCGCTGTGCGAATACAACGTCGATCGCTAAAGCGATAAATGAATCACAAGTTGCATCGATTTAAATTACTTTGATCATATAACAATATCACCTTCACATTGGCGAAGGCTCTCCGAAGCGTTCTAAAATTTGATCATGCGACGAGTTCTTTGAATGGCGACGCGAAAGATCCGTATATATTGATACTACATAAAAAAGATTACATATATAAAACTCTCAGTACTCATGATTTCAGATATAGACACCGTTACTTTATTATTGTAACTTTCGTCAATTTGATCTTCCGGGTCGCCGTTCGCAGCGTTAGTCTCTGCAGAAAATCACATTTATCGAATCGATACAAAATGAGAGATTAATTTGATCACCGATGCGTACTTTCTTCGTATCTATAAGTAACGTGCGGCACTTTCGCACGGTATATGCATTCAACGCAAAGGTAAAAGTGCATATCATCGGACCTCTCAATCTGTTCGATCATCATGCAATATTATCGCGTTGCATATCTCGTCGTTATTGCTTCGACCTCGATTATGAGACATCGTCGCGCTCCTTAGATGACATGGATCGATTCTCTTCGCATTTGGCAATCGTTTCACACAACGACCCGTGATGCAACGCCGCGACTGGTGGCCCTAGTCCGTGACGACGTCCTAGGATCGTCACACCTTGTTGTGATGCCTCATCTCATAGGCTGCGCCCCTCCCCCCTCTCCCGGAGCCCGAATAGGCGCCGGCGTACAGCTCTGGGTGATTGGAACGGCCGTAGTTGTCTGCTGACCCACTATTTGGTGGCGCACTAGCTGTGGGAACCGAGCGATAGCCTGCTTAAAGTTTAGAAAAACGTTCGGCAATGAAATGAAATGAAATGAAACTTAACCAAAATAATGTCAGATATGCGAGAATAAAGGGGGTTGCTGCCGATATATTGTATATAAATAGCAAATAAAATATGGCAGTATAGGGAGTAACAGTCGTCATGATTTCCACGCTTTTTGTGCATCCTTGACATACTGTTTCTCTCTTTCTAACTATAATGCCATTCTGGAAAATAATAATTTGAAATCAACACAATGGTGATGTAAAATGAGAAGGAAAGATTTCGGCTCCTATACGAAATAGGAAAGAAAAAGTATTTCAGCTAGCATTCAGTGCAATGCCATGAACAAGAGCTAGGAGCAAATACAAGAATTTTTCATAGAGAGAAATGGAGAAAAATATAGGTTCTCTTTTATTATATGTTATTTGATAAATGTGTATGATTTACATTATATACAAACGGTATTCACATTCATGAATTTGCTCCTGTCAAGCATATAGAATATAGGCCCCAGCTCACCTCTGCAGGTCATAGAACGATAGTATCAGGTAGTGATGCGCGTCAATCAATGCGAGGGAGATGCAAACAGGAAAAGACATTGATGTAGTTGCGGGTCACACAAGAACGAGAAAACGCGAACAACGTTTACTTGGGTTTAATCCATATTAGCAATCCTTTCTTTCACATTAATATCAACGTATGCATGTTTAATTTATGCTTAAGCACACGAATTAAACTCAAGCAACGAGAAATACGTAAATAGTTTAATGTGCTAATATACCTTTCGGATAATACTGGGCACCTCTACCCTCTCCGTAACCGTGAGAGGGTCCACGTGTTCCGTGTCCACCTTGACTTGGTCTTGGGGGTATACTTCTTGGCCCAGCCCCGCCTCCACCGTGTGGATGTCGCTGTAATAAATATGACAAATAATAAAATATGCGTTAACAAAATATTGTATAATTTTTCAAATAGCCTTCAATTTAAACTTTGATATGAAAAAATTTCTAAACATATAATTTATGTGTTCTTTTACCATTCTTCTAAGAGTATTCATCGGTCTTGTTAAGGTATCACTGATGCGCCTTGCAGGCGGCTTTTTAGGATTAGTGGAAGGAATGTGCACGGCGCAACACTTGATAAATAATCCCATAAATATGATGAAACCTATACCCATCAATAGCACCGCCCACCAAAATTCCTACAAAGAGATAAAACAAGCAGTAATAATAAATTCTAATATCGATAAAAACACAGCATAGACAAGTAAAATATTCGTCTCTGCACTTACAGTTATCCATTGCGCTACCGATGATAAAGTTTCTTTGTTGAACAGCAGATTTTTCAACCTCGCAAGAGGTCCTTCCGTATCGACAGCACGACATTTCAAGAAAACATCGCAGTAACCCTAAAGAAAAAACAAAAGTGATCGTTCCATTTGTTCTTTAAAAAAAATGTTTAATAATACGTGTACATTTTTTTACACAAATATTTATTTAATAATTTACCTGAAAATTGTCGCAAGGTGAACCAGGTCGGAGGCTCATACCACCCTCGGGCAGTCCTACCATGTGCGCAAACTCGCTCGTACCGCGACATGTTGATACATCAGTGCCATTTTGACAGGCTAATTCACAAAGCTTTCGCTTGTCGATGTTTGGTATAATGCTGCTCGTTAAAAAGCACTCTGTCAGATTCCACTCCAGACAAATGGATCCGGTGCACTCCCCGTTGATGCATAACTGTAAATAGTGTATCGTTGAAGCAAAAAGTGCCAATGATCGTTAAATCATATACGGAATAAGAATAGCGAATTTACTTGAGTGCCCTCGTTGCATCTAGTCTTGTTTGCTTTCGGTAGCGGCGCTGGACATTCGGACGATCTCCCGCTGCAGGTAGAATTGTAACTACAGTCCGATTCAGCTCTACACTGAACTCTATGAGAGAGGGGCACAAACTGGCACGTTTCGCTCGAACAGCACGGTCCTTGACTAGGACTATAAATGCATAATAGTAGTTATGAGAAATATACGATTCGAAAAGATATCAGACGCGATAAATCATATCCGATCAAAACAAAATCATCAAGTTTTGCTTCCATATACCTGCATTGTGTGCCATATTTCCTACTACAGCCTTTCGCCGTATCATTCTTCATTTTATCCAGTTCGGACACCTGTCTAGGATAGCAGCACTTGTCCACGCATTCGTTGTCATCGTATCCACAATCGCACTCCTCACCAGCTTCCACAATCTTGTTCCCGCAAAATGCTCCTGTAGGTAAAAAATATAATAAATTTTAACATGCAAATAAAAATTTCAGAATAAGCAATTATGTATCTATTTCTATTGCGCTAGCATGAAGGAAAACCTGAGATAAAAATACCAGTGAAACAGTTCCTCTTTTTATTATCCTCGATAGCATCTAGGACGTTGCTGATATTGCCAATGCTGCACTTTGAAAACTTGCTGTTGTTCGGTCGATTTCCGCTCGTCGCTGAGGCGAACATAATGTAATTACCGTCCAAGCCTCCCGGTCTGCATTCCGGCGGAAAATCGTGCTGGAAAAAAAAAATAATCGTTATCGTTACCTCTGCGTTCCATCATTCTTGAACAGATTATCACACGTGCGGCAGAAAAACGATATTTTTTTTTGCAGTAACAGTACTTACCGGTGATCCGAAATTATGGCCTATCTCGTGCGCCAGAGTCAGCTGCGATACTTTGGGCGGCACTCGGCTGTTGTAATTCACGAAAGTTATGATGCCAGTATTCAGAGATCTCTTAGTGGACTGATACAGGCCGGACACTGTTTCGGTATAAGTCTTGAATTTCTCGCAAATACCACCTGACGCGCCTGAGGCGGACGCAACCCAGGCGAGTCCGAGAGTGCCTCCGGTGAAGTCCCTGTCGACAAAGCGTGAAATAACATTTGCGAGCCAGTCGTAAATGGACACGGCATGATATGTTCTGTTACTCGCTCACCTATAGGTGAAGACGTAGGCGAGGCAGAAGTCCTCGTGATTCGATAGGGAGTGCAGATTCAAGAAGTTACTGACGTCGATGTTCTCCAAGCAGAACGGATTTGGTTCGCTGTACGGCTGTTGAGGCGTACACGCCGTCTCGTCATCGATCTGATATCAGATATATTGAATGTCAGTCAAACGAGAGAATGCTCACCAGGAGACTGGTACTATTTTCGGCACGCGATACCGTTACCTTTATTCGTTGAACCTCAAACTTGATGTTTCTATGCTCCGTCCTGCCATCGAACTTCGTGTCCCTATAGATGTAATTCACGGCGGTGACGTGGTGAGCGATCAGGGACAATATTTCCTCTCTAGTTTTCTCCGCGTCATGATGCAACTACAAAAAGACGAACATGAGCTCGATATCTATGACGAAACTCTGAAATTATTCTATCTCTTTCTTTGTGCGCGACATCGCAGAAACTTTTCTCTCTCATATATTCATATCTAAGACGGACTTTGCGTTACGCAAATTCTCAATTTTCAACATTAAACAGCTTATAATTGAATATCAAATTAAATTCCTTGTAAAAGCGAGAATCGGTAACTCTATGCACTTGCTGAAATTTAACAAGTGGATAAATCTTTGAATTTTAATATTGGATATGCGCGCGAACAAAACTCTTTAGAAATTTTTGCGAAAAACAGCTTAAAAAAATTTGTCATTAAAATTGCACGTCCGGTGGAACGCACTGTACTATGCAGCGTATATCATGGCGGTATCAAAGGCTGCGGGACATAGGGCATAGGGATGAAAATATTCTTTTTGTGAAGAACGTCGGAATGCGGACGGTGTCTGGTTTGTTGAGAAAATGCAAAGGAAAATTGCACTGACCGTGCAGCCGACGAAAACGCATATGAATGTGACTATAGGAAAAAAACGGTCGGTATTCGAGGTATTTCTCTATTGTGCAAGAAGATACGAGCATTCTCCAGTTACAAATTGCCAACGAGAATTAGGTCATTATAACAATCTGCTATCCCTGACTTTAATCCTTTTACATAATTACAAATGCCAGCTTCGCGTCATCCACTATCACTTGATAAATTAAACAGCAAGACGTAGAAAAAAAAAATGTTTTTTATTTTTAATTCCAAGAAAATCGGCATAAAAATTAAAAAAATAAAATATAGTACATTTCAAATTTCAAATTAATAAAATATGCTAATTTTTCGTATTTACATAATTTTTTCAGATTTGATGTAAGTTTTATATATGAGAGAATAGTCTAATAAATATTAGATTTAAAGGATAATTTTTCTCAGCAGAATTGCGATATTTACGAGCTACTTGAAAAAAGTAAAGCACTTGAAAAAAATTAAGTATACCTGTTCGGAGATATGCCTCCATATAAGAGGATCCGTTTGTATGAAGAGTGAACAGGTATTATTCTCCTTCGATCTGGTCGCTCTTCGTGACCTGCGATGACTAGGTTCATTAGCCTCTCTGCTGTACTTGTGAACAGGAGTCTCTCGATCCCCGTTCCAGGGTGCGACGTTTGGTTTCGGCTCTTTTTGGCTTGCCGGTGCACCCGTCTTAGGCGGTTCATCCGGTAAAGCGGAATTCTGGATTCTTTCCATCCATTCTATCACATCACTATTAGTAATGCCACATCCACCACCATCACCTGAAAAATTTATCATTGACTCAACATGATTTTTATAAAATGTGATAATATTAACATTATAAATGATTGCTAAAAAATAATTTTAAGGATTTATTCGTCTCCCCTCTCTCCCAAATATCAATCAAAAAATTAAAAATAATATCAAAAAATATTAGCATATTTATTATCATCTTGAAGTTATCATTCCGATATCATACACTTACATAAATTTGTTTTGATAAGTTTTCTAAGAAAAGTATTACTGAAATTTAAACGGTTTTATCAATCAATTTTTAAAAAAGACTAATATACTAAATATTATATATATTTTTTATTTTTATATTTGTTTTAAAAATTGTCGAGGATTAATATATTTTTTATATTGTTTTTCTTAATAATACATTTTGTAAAAAAAATAAGATAAAAGCAATTTAAAAATTACGTTTTCTGGCCTTAGCCTTTGCGAATATTTCTATAATATCCTTGTAAAAGTTGTTGGCCACTTCCTTCTCGATTGATAGAATTGCTAAATCCTATATCTGATTAAACGAGGTTTTACAAGCGAGCGGCATTGAGCCAGATAAGAGCGATCATCGCAGACCGAGCGATCAATATTCACATGTTTTTGGACATTCCAAAAATTATTGGCGCATATTAAAATTTTGCATCCCTCCAAATTTCGCACCCTACACTGGAGTGTACATTGCGTACTGACTAGTAACGGCTTCGTATATGCGCGTGTGCATTTAATCGGGAATAAAAACGTAACGTGGATGAAAAGTGCTACCGCGTAAGCGGCACAGAAAAATTTTGCGAGTATTCGGTTGTGCAAATTTATCGAGCATAGAAAGCATCGAAGTCCTAAAAAGTTTTCTCTATCGTAGTCATTGATATCAATTCGCGCCTAAAAACTTGAAAATATTTGCTTTATGTATTTGGAAGTTTATGACGTCCGAAATCAAACCATTCATCTCATTGTTATAATTGGAATATAATTGTAGAAATTGTATCAATGACGATATACATACTGACAAAGCACATACGTCAGTATTTCTTAATTACTATCCGCGGCGTTTCTCGTTACATATATCTGCGTTCTTTTCCATTTGCAGAATCTAAAAAGATCGATATATTTTCAGTTAAATATATCGATCTTTTTAGATTCTGAAAATGTTTCTCTTTTATTTAATAAAGACGTAATTTAAAAAATTATACGATTCTTCCCTCGCTCTCTTTACCTATTCTTCGCTTATTCAGTACTTTTTATATAACTCTAATCATAAATGATGCGAGTAATATCTGACAAGCTCGTTTCAAATGATAGAGTGGTAGCTATTATTTATGCGACTTTTCCGCTATATTACACACGTAGGATTATTAATCTCTTTTATATTCTCAGAAGTGAGAGATATTTTATACCGTTTGAGTATCATATTTTTATTTCTTTTATATATGATGATACCGCAACAACGTTAACTGACTAAGTCATATTCCCCCATAGGCATTTCTTTAATCCAAAAGAGAAGTCGTCTCACATAAATACGAACCGATGATAACGTCGCTGTCGATATAGTCGAAATAATCGCGGCTGTCGGCTTTATTGGCGGGTTAACCGTAAGCCGCGAGCTTTAATGACTCGACGTTTCAAGCGTGACGATATTGGCTGTCTGTGCTGCTGCTGCCTATTACCGTTGCCTACGCGTGTTAGTATTTAATAGAGATTATTGCCATTTCACAAAGTAGAATAGAAATGAAAGGAACGATGACGAGATGACGCATCAACTACCACTTGTTTTTCCTGACGCTTGCTTCAATCGTTAACATAAGAGTTATCTCGATGACGTATTTTTGTGCCATTTATAACTGACGTACAAATAAAAGGATTATTATTGCCATGCTCCTTTTTTTACTTAAAAAATTTTTTTATTTTTTTAAAAAAGTTTCCTATATCCATTTAAAACTTTGCACAAATCTCAACGCATTTTTCTTACCTCAAGTTTTATTTCAATAATGTATCCTTTTTTTTTAAATTTCTTTCTCAGTGCTAAATTACCAAAATAAATTAGAGTTATCTCGTGACATATTTTTGTACCATTTATAATTAACGTACAAATAAAAAAATCATTACTATCACGTATTTGTTATTAAAAAAAAAAAGATTCCTATATCAATTTAAAACATTGCACAAATCTCTCGTAACGCATTTTTCTTATCTCAAACTATATTTCGATAAGGTATCCTTTTTGGAATTACTTTTTTAGTGCTAAATTTATTTGTGTCTAATATTGCATCACGTGTAGCGTTCCGGGAAGACTTAACCGCAAAACATGAGAGAAGTACATTCTATACTATCCCGCTCTACCTTCGCATCATCGTGCCTTGTATAGTACGCCAATAAGTGCAGCAAACTCATAACGTCGGACGTGTTTCCGGAGAGCAAACACGGCAAGATGGCACGATTCGGTCCACGCAGCATGCACGGGCGGATGGGCGCGATAAATATTACACGCGATACGCCGGCTGTTTATTTCAGCGTTGGCCATTTACGCTACTATCATAAACACGGTGACAACGGTGGATTTCGCAGGAAGAAATCCGCTACCCGTTCGTATAGTCGTCGTGCTGACTACAACCGATTCAAGATGAGGTTGCACTTTCTGCAGTCTCCTGCGCACTTATGCGAATGGACTATTTTTTCCTTAACGATACCGTAAATGGTACATAGAATTCGTACTCTCTCTCTCTCTGCATCATGGACTTTTCGATATCCATATTCCCTTAAACACAATCTTGCACCAGTCGTTGAATTGCTTTGCCACTTCCCGATAGCGTGTACATGGAACGAGCATTTTGATTCAAATGTGCTAATTTTCTGACAAATTTCCGAATAATTTTGTTTTAATGAAAATTTCATTTTTAAATATAATAAAAAAAAAATGATACGTTTCTTGATTAAATATATCACGGTAAGACAATATAACTAATGATGAGAAAATTATATACATGATTAGTACAGAACTGTTTTAGCTTCCAGAAAACATCAAAGCCAAAAACATCTTTTCATTAAGGCGAGTCGATTCTGATGGATGGATGGATGGGTGTTTTTAAAGACGGTTGCTAAAGAACCATGCTAGAAAGTGAAGTAAAAGACGTTCCGAGAAGAGAGAACGTATGTTGCGAGAAGATGTATAGGGATTGCGGGACAAAGGGATGCGCAACGAAAAGCGGATGTTGTAATATCGTAAGCTACCACTTCGAGGTCGCCGTCATTGAACTGCATATCCAGACGAACGTTTAAAACATTTATAGAGATTCATGATCGTCTTATTAATTAATAAAGTTTTCATGGCGGACATAACAATTATTATCACAATCAATAAATAAATACATCTTTGTTAAATTAAAAATATTATATTTCTCGAAAGTTTCGAGAAAAAAAAAAATTATATTTACAAACTTATGTGACCAAAATAACGTACGTTTCGAAAACGTTACAGATAATTATCGATAAAAAAAAGGAATTTTGCTATTTTGCACCTTACCTTGTCGAACGTTCACATACGGATCACCGACATCATCCTCGTGATAGATCACAGAATGCAACGTCTCGTTTATCTCGTGCGGCGGAAAGTAGTAATGCGCCCTTTCCACATACCACGCACCACTCTTCGGTGATACTATCTTCCCATGGAAGATTCCATCACTGACACTTCCGAACACATGGCTACCAGGCTCACCTAAAAATGGAAAATATATGATCAGGGACCGCGCGCGAGCGATAGAGAAAGAGATAAAAGAGAGAATCACTCCATATAAAATTTTCTTAAAAACTTATTGTTTCAATATATAAATTAAGCACTAGACAATTATAACAAATATAAATACAAAAAATTACGTTAATTAAAAAAAAATCAAAAATATAATATATAAATGTTATTAGAAATAACTATGCATGTAATAATTACTATATCTAATTATCTCTGAAACATCAGACATTAAAACACAATATCATTAATTTTTTTTACTTTTTTCGTTTGAACCTGTCGTTTCATTATGGCTAGAAGCAAAGAAAGTTATGGAGATAACATAAATACTTGGATAGGCAGTACATGCGAGTACGAAACCATGTTCGCGTACGGACGATTGCGAACTTTCGTTTCGCCTGAAAAAGTATCGACGATGGTTGAAACTTTGTCGCTCGCTAAAACTTTCTGTGCCAGAAATTACTGGCTTACGCAGCAACGTGCTGCTCCTGTCTCGCTGTCTAATTTACTCGCCTAACCAAGATGCACATAGGAAAAGTTATAGCGGATATATTTTTCATCTTTTTCTCGAGAAAAAGAAAAAAATGAAGAGGATTGGACAGAGTTATATGGAATTTAATTATAAAATTTATAATTTAAATTAACTTGTAATTAAAATCATATATTTTAATTCTAAAGCATTGATGTGTAAGTATAAATTTTTGAAAAATTTTATAAATATATAAATTTATAATATAGAATGTATATCATATCTTCTCTCTATTTACTCCATTCTATTTCTCTGCTATTGTTAATAGTACCTATGCTTAATATACGAATTGTCATAATTGTCACTTTTACGATCTACGAATTCTTCAACCATTAATATCGGCATTTCGATAACGAAGAATTGGGTATACATGATAAGAACTGGGTATTTTTATTTTAAACAAAAAAATTTTTGTGCAATTGAATAAATCGTAGATAAAAATTTAGTTAAAAAAATTATATGTACAAATTAATTTAAAAATAAAAAATAAAAAATTTGTCATTTGTTTATACTAATTAATTTCCGAAATAATTTACAATTCATTTTTGCTAAAATCTTTCAATTTGTTCAAAGATTTATAACGTTTGTTATTATGTGGATAACTAAAAAAATTACTATTCTTTTTAATTCTCTAATATACGTAGTTGGAAAGAATAATTGTAATTTTCGATGCCATTTAGAATATTTGTTTAATATTACAAAATAAATGATATTATGAATCCGATATATCAAGGAAAATAAAATTACATAATTTACAGAATAGAATAAAATTGTTTTTTTTTCGGCAATCATGCTCCATGAAATTCGAGAATTCAATTTATACAGGAAGCATATATTATTCGATGCGAAAATTTCTTCAATAAAACCTGCAACAAATATTGTATCTCCCTCTGCATGAAAAAAAATAAAAAAATATATTTTTATCGACGAAAATATAATTTGGTGCAAAAGGCAACATTGAAATCGTATCATTGTCACATATTATACATGAAAAATATTTTGCGACACAATTTCAACCAATGGGTTGGATGTGAAAGGACAGTTGAATTATTAAAAGCGTCAGACAAAATCTAAATGTATTGCAGATAGCAGATAAACGACAATAATAGAGAGAATATTCAGCAGCATCATGGCGCATATTCCTTTTTCCTTTTAGATAATAGATTGCAGGAAAGCGAAGTCACGCCCGCGCACAGCTGAGCTTATCACAATTCAGAATTCCTTTTGATACGAAGATAAAGGGAATCTTTCGCTTCCGGTACCAAAAATGTTCAGCAAGTCTCTAACATCACTTCAGAATTCTTTTTCCCAATTTCGGACTACAAAGATATGTATATTAATATACGTTATATTCTTTAAATTTTTATGCGTTCAAAAATATCAAATAAAATTATTATATAATAGCTATAAGCCGACTTCTATTTAGAAAAAGTATATATATTAATCTTTTAAATAAATTACTTTTCTTCATAACTAATTAAGAAACTTCAGTAATAAAAAGATCTCTTGAATATTCTAGTTTACAATAAACTTATGTGAAAACTACATATTTTTATTGACTTCTGAAAAATTTGGCATAAAAGATATAGCTTAATTTAGAAATAAATTCTTTGCTTAGAATCAATAAACTTCTTATAAATGTAGCAAGCATACGAATAGCTCGCTAACAATAAAATGCTCGCTAAGCCCGCGATTTTTAGAATTTTCTTTGATCCTGATCTGAAGTATGCCTTTTCGTGGCATTATTCGGCAAAGACCGCGACTGTAACCGGGTCGAAGGGAAAGATCGTGGCGCGAATTCGCGAGTGAGAGATAAACCGTTCTCGTAAGCACCTCGTCGCTCTGATCCATAATTTAAAACGTCCTATTGCCTGCATGCTGGGTTCCCGCAAATTATTAGACTGGAAATAAAGGTTCCAGTCAGTATCTACATTGACACGCACTTTTGCGTGTCACACCTGGCTACCGGGGACGTCGCATAAAGCTACACGAAGAAACAATACCGCCTCGTTGAGGTTACACATAGTGTAGAATGCAACCAGAATGCACATCGACGACGAAGCAAACATTTCGGCCTGGAGGTCAGACAGACAGACGCGGTTATAAATTTAAGTATGGCTCTTTGTTTGTACAGTTGAGAGCACTTCTCTGTACTTCTGTTACATTCAGTTTATTTTGACGGAAGTTCTTTGAGAATATGCAGAGTGTCTAAGATTCAACTTTAGTAGCATATTCTGCGGTGAATTTGAAGATAGTGGCTTTCCCTTCAGCGAAAATTTGATTAGAGATTCTATATTTTGTTACAACTTTAGAATAATAAATAGCTCTGTAACTAAGTTTCACGTTAAGATTCTATTAGAACTGACATCCACTTGACATAAAGCCAAAAATAATATTGTTTAATACTAAAATAGATAAATTGCATACGATAATTACACCATTATTTCAGTTTAAATTCTGAGCAAAGAAAAACGTTCTGTATAAGATTTTCAAATAAAAACATTTTTGCATTTTTGACTTCGAGTTTTTTGCGTAGCTACTTTTTTCTTTCGTCGTACACGCAGTCATTCTATTACTTTCGCATGTCAAAATAATGGCATACCATTATTTTTTCGGAAGATACTTTTATTTTCGAAAGGTAGTGTGATACTATTAGATAAAATAATTAAATTCATATAATTTTATCACGACAGCTTCTGGCGAGCAGGAAGTCTAAACGATTGCTATCGATCGATTCCACGTAACTTTATACGCTGACGGTATCATTTATGTGAATATATGGGGCACCGAGAAGAGAGAAAGAGAGAGAGAGAGAGATTGCTAGTATGATATCATAATACCACGACTCTATATTTGGAGAAGTGCATCGACGCATAATATAATATTCCAGTCATAGACCTCTAGCGCTCTATAGCACATGCACAAGCATCGTTGTGCACAGCTGCATTTCCCTTTAATAACAAATACTATTGAAATAGGAAAAGTTGGAAAACATAGCATGATTGTTAGAAACGAAAGACAAACAGAATCAAACCCAAGTGACGTAGTCCATGAAATACATATATTGCATCATCAATCACAACCCATCCATTGTCTATTTCGAAAAATTACATAAAAAGAACTTGTAATTTTAAGCTTACTAAAATAGCAGTGGAAATTGCGAGAGAATGGTCATAATTTTAATTTTATTTAATGTTATTTATATTCCTTTTCTCATTAAAAGAATTTATTAAATCCAACACGTTTGTCGAAAACACACTTTGTTTCCCATATAGAAACAATTATTAATTTTGGAGAGCAACGCTATTGTTCGAATAAATTAAACTGGTATTCATTTCTGAAAATTGCATATATAATAGAATAAAAGAAAAGGAATCTTATATAATTTTATGATCCATGTATTTTGTTTGCATATATAACATAACATCGTAAAGTGTTTTCAAATGGCTATTCTTTTAATCATTTTCAGAAATGGATGTGTATCCAACAAAAGATCGAAAAAAGGCGCGATTGATCGAAAACCTTGTGCAAGTATCTTTTTCTCTTCGTGAACGTACCGACTAGATTGCCCAGGTAAATGTGGGAGATGCTGTCGTACTGCCTCTCTCCCGTAGATCCCTCAATAATTAGATTGTTACTAAAAGTGGTCAAGTCTCGCTTTAATCGAATGTGGAAGTCTCTGCCGTGCGCGCGGAACTTCAACGTCACGGTACTGTCGCGATTGATCGACCTCTTCGCCCTCAGGTGACTTCGATGGACCTCCTCGACGGGATATGACAGTGTTTCGTAGTGGCGGATGTACTCGTTCAACCGACGAGCTGTAACAAAAGCAACAATAGATTTTTTTAAACACATTGGTAGAGAGATGTCTGTTGATGTAGAATAATTATTTTTGAGTTATAAATAATGCTAGAAAGAGAAACACATTCTTTTCTGTATCGCATTTAAAAAATCCACAACCTTACCAAACATTTTTACAACTTAATCTTTATTTAATTTCAAATTTCTACTTGTCATACATATCCTAAAATGTTAAATAGCCTTAATGTATTAATTCTTCGACGTAAGGCTCGCTATGTAAAAATATGATGTATGTAGATAGCTTGGAAAACAACGTTATGCCATAAATATTCAGAATATCGCAGCTGTCGTGTACTTCCTTCGAACTACAAATAACACAGATAATCATATTTCATTCTATCTAGATTAAAGCGCGTATCAGATAAATAATGGTCAGCCAAACTCGGGCGTACAAAAACACCGGGAGGAATTTTCTGAGATGGTCGCGTAATCAGGTCGATCGAATAATCCAGTATTTACTGCGGATATTTTCGTGTGTTCTCATCAGAGCTTGCCTGACAGGGAGATGGACTTCTTTCCGCTCTAATAAACTTTCAGCTCGGCTGTCACATATCGCAGGATAAAAATGCTGGACAATGTGATCTGAGACGATTGCCGGCCGAGAGAATCGTCGCGTCAAACCCTCTAGAAATTCGTCGCGAGAATTGTGTCGCGTTCAGTAGCGCCTTTTCACAATTACGTTAACAAGACAAAATGCTCCGCAGAGGATAACCCAGAGAGGTTCATACAGAACTTCCCTTCGCGTACTTGACATCACTGTCGTAATTTCCGAGAGCGTAGCGCAAATTTATATTAGATGACATTTTCCTCGTGAAAAAATCCGGAATGAATCGCGCGCGACAAAAGGGTGGCAACGACCATGCTACGTGAAAAGCACCCATAATTTGTCCGTGCTTTGCGTATCTATGAGATGTCGCAAAAGCGTTGCGATTCTCTTCTCGCCGTCCGGAATCCCGAAATTTCTTCCGCGAGATGCGCGCTTTACTCCCGGCGCAAGCTCTTTCTGTCTCTTTCTCTCTCGGAACAACGCCGTCGTATAGTATGAATATTATACAGGGCAAAAATGCACTTTCCTCGTCGCGTCATTTAGCCGATTTCTAAAGAGCACCCGGCAAGTACCTAGCATTATGCTTTACGAGATACGCGCGCACTCTCCGCCGCCTCGCATTCACGATAAGTGCAATTGCGCAAATGAGAGAACCGGTCGATACCAGACGCATAACTTTTAACGTTGATCACGGTAAATGAGGCACGTAATTTTCCAAGTACTTAATACTTTCAAGCCTGTTTATACCAAGCGATGCCGAACTGTGTCACGCTAATGATAAGCGATGATGTCTGTGACTGTGTATAAGTGCGACGTAGGATTAATTCTTACAAGAATAGATATTCTTTCCTCGTTTCTGTATATTTACACGCTACGATATTATAAAGAAATTCCATTACTCCAGAAATTATCCTTTCTATCTGATATAACTTTTATACTCATGAAAAAAGAGCCATTTTATAAATACTGCAAAGGATTTACAAAGAGTCAAGGGAAACAATTTGTGCTACGGAGAAGAAAATAAGCTATCTTGAGATCTTACGTCAGGCATTTAATTTTATTATGCGAAAGAATTATATCATATATCTAGTATCTGGGAAAAATTATAAAGGTACTTACTTAATAACATTATGCGTTCAAAAGTTATAATTAACGTTCCATTAAGGATCGACTGAGTGCATTGTTCATCTTTCTATTATCTATTTTGATATTTAATGACATCTTTCAAATGTATTTAGCGCTGCAATTTCAAGGCATCAAAAGGAATTCTAATATCAATATTAGAATAATGGAAGGAAACTATATTTATAGAATAATTATATTTTCTCTCTCATTTCACGTAATAGCGAGTGGAAAATATATACTTCATTTAAGTACGGAGAAGTCGAAAAGAAAAGAAGAAAATGTTAAGGCTCTCTAGTTTCTATTTTTAGACCGTGGCATTAGAACAAAAAGAAAATCTAGATAATAAGCTCATTGTCCATCCTCTTCTAGAACCCCTGTCCACTATATCCGCAGGATCAAATCATTGAAGAGGATATAAAACCGAACACGCAGAAGGCTTATTAGACAACGTCCAATCTATCTACGTTAATGGAAATATTTCTCTCATCATTCATTTATTACATAATAACGAGATGGTGTCAAGCCCGTCATGCAATCAATAAAACACAATTGCGATCTCTTTATATATATTTCTGAAAAGAATATATAATAATCTCTCCCGATTATATTACCGAATTATGTACGCGAGATTTGTGCCGAAGTGTGAAAATCAATTATATTTTTCAATGAATCTGTGAAATCAATTATTCCTTAATAAAAAGTTTTAATCAGATTCCGATATTTCTCGCTTTCAATTTTCAATATGGAATCAAAATCACTAGACGAATACAATATCATCCATAGCTTTAACAAAACAATTTTTAAATAATTATAAAAAATTTGTAACATATTATATATATAAAATAATAAAATTTCTTATGCTTATTTGAAATAAATTGAAGAAATTGAACGATCTGTTTATACTTGATTTGCCAAGCCATTAATTGTTAATGTTAAATAATTTCGTAATTATATCATTAATGAACAAAACTCTCCTAAATTCATTAAGAAATATTACCTTATTGTCAGTACCAAAGTTCTTATATATTTTTTTCGGCGAATATCCTATATGTGTATAAAATAAAAACTCAGAAAATGAAACGCTGCGACTCGCTTCTACATTTCCATCCGCTCTCGGATGAATAGAAGAATTCGAAACGAAACATGAAAACGTATCGACATCTAAAGCTGCAGGGACACATATGATGCATGAGACAGACTGCAACGACATACCTTTTTATGCATTGTAGCGGGAGACGGATCGATATGCATTCGTATAGCGTTACTAGTTTATCTCAGAGCGTGAAAATTCCGCTCCGGATGTAGCGTGAAGAAATAAATCAAACACGCCGGCATCTTTTTGGTGCTAAAAAAAAAGAAAAAAAAAATACGGCTGCAACATCTAGCAAACAGATGATATTGCAAATGTGTATATGAAACTGTACAATAAAAACTAATAGTTTGCATCCTACATATCATTGAAAGACACTATTTTTCGGTCTTCTTATTAAACTAGAAAACGTCCATATATTTCTTGATAGTTAAATAAAATTAGAACACAATCGCAAAAAAAAAAAAGAAAAGAAAAAATACGGATATCAGAATACTGCTCCAAATGCATTTTATCTGACATATTCCAAACGAATCTTCTCATTTTTCAATCTCCCCAATTATCGAATATCCAATGAACAATGCGATAGAATAGTTGTTAAACTTATTTTATTTGTTATGTACAGCACAGAATGAAAATCAAACGCAATAAAAAAAATGTAGCTTTCCTCATATAATTCTGTCTAAAAACAAAGAGATATCACGAAATTGAAGAGTCATCGTCCTGCTTCGCCGTAATTTCATCCGCTTTTGTAATCCTATTCACTTTCGACAAAATGTAATAAATGGATAAAGCGTATTCGATACAAACGGAATTTACAAACCGTCCAGAAAATTAACAATCAGGAAAATATTTTTGTAATCTAACTCTAAGCATAGAATAAAATGAAAAATCCAAGTATAAAATAAAATGACAATTTTGTGTGTGATTTATCAATATATCGAGTAATTAATATTCAAAGTTGCATGTGACAAAGAAATATTGCAATCTTGCGTAAATAAATGACTCGGAAATCTTCTTTGTTATTACGGACTATCCTGAATTCAGAGCAAGCTTAGTTCCTAAATAGTACCCGCCGCTATAATTGCGCTATAATTGCGCGAGCTATTTTCTTAAATAATATTTATTTTTTTACCCAAGTTTTAATTACGCGTCATAACATCTTCAATATTTCATCGCTGAAAAAATAACTCCGGCCACGAGAAAATGACAAAACCCATTTCGGAGCGGTAGAGTTGTCGGTTTTGCAACTACTTTAATGTCGACGTCGAGGAGAAAGAATAAAAAGTAATATTTCGATGAGACGGAGAGGGATGATATCGGAAAATGAGAAACGCTAACCTCCCCTCCGCTTTCCAATTTTCCGAGCAGTCTTCGGCCGTGTCGGTATTCTTTTGCGCGAATTGCGTCGAAAATGCTCCTCGGAGCGCCATGATATTTGGATACGAAGATGAAAGAGCCCCAGGGCCGAGAACAAAAATGCAAATTGTGCGTCTACCTGATGATACCGGCGAGAAACATCAATCCTCTCGTTGCTCGACGTTGTAGCGTGACAGAAATTGCATTGTTTAACCTTCTTATATACATTTTGGGGCTCGAAATAATCGAGCCTGTTGCATACAAATTATCACACAAATATAGGCGCGTGTAAATACAATTTTGAATATATTATTTAAAATGTTTATTTTATTACGTTCTAAAATTTTTGTGCTTTTTTGTGAATTGACAAGTTTAAAGGCGATATTTTCTTTAAAAAATTAATAAATCTCTCTTTTAGTAACATTTTAATTGAGAACAGTGTTGCAACACGCAATTCAATAGATGCAAAATATAATTTAAATGTATTTTAAAGTAAGTTTATTATTGTCATAATCTTTGATTTAAAATCTCTTAGCAGTAAAATCTTAGTTTTATATATATACATATATATAGAAATCCTTCCTATAGATTTCTGGTTTGACAAATTTCTCGAAATCTTATTTTCTAAATATTTCACGACTGTATATAGCTACACATAATTGTATTGAGTATGGCCACAAGCGAACGCGAGATCGTCACATCCATTACGCCGGAACAAAATTAAATCTCAAGGTAACGCGTATCAGATGCGGTTATTGAGGCAAACGGGTCAGCGCACGTGCCATTATGCTCTTTGACGTTCCGTGGGCGTAAATATCCAGTAGCTTCATACCGCC